CTTTAAGGTGAGAGGAAACGCGCTTTTACGTACCCTTGTCCTGTGTTGGCGTGCTCTATTATCCTTGATACCCTCTATTTTTTGAGGTTTAAAGGTGTTTGAGTTAGCGGTTCTGCCGAACGCGTCCCCGGCTAGCATTTTCCGTGATTCAGTGCTGTAGTAAGAGTGGGAAAAGTTTTTTCACGCGGAAGATTTCTAAAACATGTCTGATGGCCTATTTCGTCGCGCCTATTTAAGCATTCGGATAGCTTCTGCAAACATTCCCATCAGTCTTTTGGAACTAGAGCCGCGTAGCAGATTCGAGTAACTATTAGGTTCCCTATTAGAAAGCCTTGCTTCCGTTCGATTTTAGGCCCATCATGAAGTGTTGTACTAGTCGTTTTATCTGCCCCGTGAACAAAACTTGCTTCAAAAGCTAGCCTTAGAGGCATACCTCATGCGTCAGGGCAAGAGAGTAGCTTGAGTTGTCTTCATTGCATATACGTAAGCTCTTTTCAGAGATATATCGCAATTTCGTATAGCGGTTCAGATCCAAGATTCATGATGCTGTCTTTTGAAATTTTTAGGGTTATTCAGTTATATGATGTAACTCTTTTAAACCGAAACGTGTGCGCAGACTTTATTGCCGTACAGCTCATCATAATTTATCAGATCAGATCAGATCAGATCAGCGGTCCTAGTCGTGTTCGTCTGCATGTCACAGGTGAACATTTCGTCTGCATGACAAAACAGTACCGCTGAATACTATGCAAATAGAATATCTCGGAACAGTTTAGTGTACTTACAAATTTGCAGTACGTAATTCGCAAGCAGCTACACTTTTTCAGAGCGACGTATTCCCTTAAAAGGGGAAATGGCACCGTTTTTTAATTCATTTATTTGTTTTCTTAGTTCTATAATTTGATCAGGACGCCAGTTCCGAGTGCGCTTTGCTCGATCAGTCGGAACGTCAGATACAATTGTAAGCCGAAGAAATTTGTGCTTCGACCATTGTACCCTGACAGAGCAGCGAGGAGCCGCCTGATCGTAGGTTTAAGGACGCTACCAGACGTGAAAATAGCTCGAAAGATTTAACTGAAACTGGTGAGAAGCGTCATATCTCTGTTTAAGGATTCGCTACGTTTGCTTTAGAAGCGTGAAAAACATTCTCGACTATATTGTGCCGCTTTTCGAGACACTGTCATCTATATAACTATTATGTGTCATTTCCTACGCCGTTGCCAATATGTTTCAACTCGTTCTGCTAAAATGATTGCAAATTTCAATTACCTACAGCGACACTGTTCTGCGATAACGCAAGTTATTGCCATCACGATTACAATTTAATCAGTGTCGATACACGTTTTCTAGACAGGCCTAAAGCGACGGTTTTCTACTGACCTTTTCCATCGATCCTCCCAGCCACTATCGAATCACCTGTATTGCGCTATTTCAGTGCTTACATTTTCTCTTTTTTTACTTGCCCCTGTTACTTCATGTATCAAGTTAATTATGTTTAAGTGCATGGTATACACTTAGCTCACTTATATAGCGCGTGCTTGAGCGGTATCATACTCAACCATCACTTAGGCGGTATAATACATAGACGCCAGATAATACAATAATTCTTTTTTGGACTGACCGTGCTCAAGTCTTCAACCACGACGTCCTCACGCCTCGTTTTCTTTTGCTGTTCTAACATATAGCATACCTTCTGCTTCCACCGTTAGTTCTGTTCCTGTAGTAATACACGATGTCTACTTACCTAGCAAATAAATGAGGCAATCTTTTCTAATCGTAGTACCAAAAAAACTTCATGAGAAAAAACGAGCTAGGTCCCTGTGAGGTCTGAATATACTGCGAAGATTGCATAGATAAATGGCATGCGTACCTGACGTACCTAATCGGCTGTACCAGTCGTACTCATAGGTTCTCATGAACCTATTTATAAACATACTCGCTATATGGAAATCTGCCGAGTTTACTGTACACAACTTGTAAATAAGTTTCAAATATAGAGTAAAAGCTCTTTCTCATCCGTGTCGTCCAGGGCTATATTGAACTTCATTTTCACCCGATGGACTCGTAGCGTAATGAAGCCTTCTTTGTAGCGTAGTATACAATTGATCAAACGTGCGTATTTCTCGTCATGCTTACATCGTAGAACATAAAAGGCTAATACAGACTGACAAACGACAGCGTTCGCGTGACAAAAACTCAAAAATCACGCCAGAACCTCACTGCTGTGGTAAACAAAAATTCAGTGAAGGAAATCACATTTTTCAGAAATTCATGAGCTACAGAGCTTTTACAACAGTGAAACGTCAATACGTTTCACCTCATTAAGGCAGGTAACTCATCCAATGGAAACGCTTAACTGAGATGCTTTAAGCAACACCTTTTCTCAACACCCTGCTAGTGAACAAATGGCCAGATCAAACGCCGCTGGTTTTTATATAACACCTTTGTGTCAACATGATTTTTTAGGGGGATGCAAAACGCTTCCGTTATGCGTCTAACGACTAGTGGCTGACACGTTTTGCAATCAGGAAATTAAGATGTAATGAGGAGACTCTATGACAAAATAGTAAACTAGCTAAATGAATATGTCTAAATTTGACGTGACCATTAACGAGCTTAAACGTTTTCTCTCTGGCCAATTCTCTACCTGCACCGTCTTTCTCCAAATTTCATCCAGAGAAAGATTTCACGCGAGCACACAGCTAAGAACACTGAAGATCTTAAGGTTAGAGATAAACAGTATTCGATAGGATAGCTAGGCATTAAGTACGTCCTAATCGACGTTTTGTTTGTCTGTCTTGCTCAGACCACCGTCTCATCGCTCTAGCGTTTAATATCTAATAAAGAACAACGGGCTACTCCTTAACTAGCCATGATCGATGGGGAGGGCTCCCGCCTACACTCTAGATGAACAGTCTTCATGAAACTTCTGGATGGTCTTTAACAACGACACGAGATATATTTCAACTTTTTGTTATTTGTACATCCTCCATTCAAAGATAATTTAAAAATGGGGCCAAGATTGCCCTCTAGTTAAGACAACCTGTTTGCTAAGTTTGTTAGACGAGACCAGCTAGCCAAATTTCAAAGCAACATGTAAAAGGGAAAGTTAATTCAAGCAGAACAAATTATTAATCAAGATTTGACTAGGCAGAATCATGAGTTTGTCATATCCGATCCATAGTAATCACATAGGTCTTTTAGATTTTTTTGTGCACACGTGTACGTAATCAACTATTGCCAAAAGGTCGAGCCAACTTCGTTCGAGCTGCCTTAAGAATTGAATTTTTGATGCTAATATTGAACAGAAACAACCCTTGATCATTGTAGCCCATAATTCAACAAACGGGCATGTAAGTCTAACGAGTATTTGGCTGTTTCTTTGGAAACATGTAGATATATGGGTTTAGTTTGTGAATTTGCTGGAAGTTGAAACATTTCATTCCAAGTAAGAATCATACTTGCCGCTAATGTTAATTCTTAATATTTCAGTACTAGACGTATGAGAGCAATGGTGCTCACCGCACCTGCACAAGGGAAAAGAAAAAAAGCACCTTACTATTCAGGTAATGTACAGCTATCTTTAAGACACACAAACAGATTTTACTATTCGTCGATAAATTTCTGTTTAGTCATTCAGTTTACTTTGCAACAATGAACGAGCGATTATACGCTCAACGGACTTGTAATAGGAATAGAGAAAAAAAAAAAATGAAAAATTATCTACTTAAATCAATGTAATTTTCTTTTTACGACGCTTTCTGCATCGTGGCTTTCATTTTAGCCGTAATGCACAGCACGTAGCGGTTAAATAAAAATCTAACAAGAGCAATTTGTTCCATCCAGTATCAGCTTTGGGTATAGTTAGTTATATATTACGAGATTTTCGTGCCTCATTTTGCCATCGCCCCCCTCTGCGTTCAGCTGAATTCAGCTTTTGCGCTTTACAACAGCTACCCTAATTTCAAGTCATATTTCCATTCATACCCGTCAAATCCTTACGTTCTGTCGCTGATCATGACTCTGTCTAATTCAGCGACTCACAAAGTGAAGTTGACTAGGCGAAGTAGTTTCAAAATTAGGGCGCAGAGATTAGGACCAGTCATCTATCTCTTATTCCACGCGCCATTCATCGACCATCCTTTTGATTCATGTCTCTATTCTCAGCTCCTTCAAGACAAACTGCTCCATTTTTAGCAGTTCTTTATGCTCCTTTTCGATGAGACTGCCTTCGTAGATCGCAATTTACTGAAGCGGAAAACTATCTGCGCATCATTCGTTTCCTTTTTTAACGTACGCATTACCATTCCCGCAACTATTGGTCGTACCGATTGTCTGTATTGACGCAATTCCGTCGCCGTGCTACAATCGGTGACCTGGCAATCCTTTAAAGGTTTCCTGCCTTCGAATAATTTTCGTACACAGATCATGCATATCCTCCATTTTTCAACTATTAGGTCCAGTATTGCCATTAGACATTCCATCAGACGGTTGGCCTCCTTGACGAAACGAAGTCTGTCCATGTGTCTTCGAACCCAGACCACAACGTGTCCCTAAGATCAGCATTGGGCACATACGTTACCCACTAAGCTATCACGCGAACAAATCGATCATTTCCACATAAGCCGACCAAAACTATTGCCATATGCGGCTTAACACTGCTTCGAGCGGGGTTAGGCAGATGAGATCGCACCTTAGCTCGAGTCCTCGGCCAACAACGTTCTACAGCATCTAAAGTGATACGGTCGGCTATTGACACATCAGCTTTGTCCTGCCCTCCAGCGTTGCGGGCCTAATTGTAGAAATTCTTCTCCATTCAACTGCCCTATGCTCAACTGCAGTGGAAATCCCTCAGTCGTTTGAGAGAGGGCAGAAGCGTGTGTCCTCGCCACGGGCTGAGGCCCTGAATGGGTGTACCTCTACTATACGCAAGTGGTTGATCTGAATGGCCCCTGAACTCTTTGGCGGCCTCAACGAACAGCAGTAACAACGGCCTTAGACACACAGTGAGACGGAGGCTGAGCAGGCGTATGCTTAGCGAAGATCGAAACGATGGGTACAACTGAGAACGGTAAATAGCTAACCTCATTGCGAAATCGCATGAGATTACTGCCACGGCGATTGGGGCCCTGACTCGGAGGCGAACGCCAGCGTAGCGTAAGTCAGTGCGTGTTGCATTCGATGCTTTAATCTGATAGCTAATGCCTTGCCATTAATTCTGCCACAGTCGCTGTAACCACAATTGCGGCAGTCAGAATAGCTCGTATACTGGGTTATGCCGTGGCAACGAAGATTAAACCATCAACGGCCTTCACTCTACGGTTGTACTCATAGAAGTACACGTATATCCGTTGCTCAGTGTCGATTACTGTGTGCCTGCGATAGTGCTAATGTGAAACAGCGGGGAGTGAAGGGAGAAACACGAAGTGAGGGAAAGCTAAAGGACGGGTGCAAGCCAAGATTCGTACTAGCCTTATTAAGAACGAGGTCGAAAGAAAAGAAGCCAAATAGCAGTCAGAGTGCGTCTATGGTGAGTGCATGAACCGAGTCGTAGGTTAGTCTATCGAGTGGACGGAAGCACTGGGATGCGAAAGAGGCACGTACGTACAGCCTGATAAGCGGAACGTACTCGTACATTCCTACCGAAAAAAAGAGAACGGAAAGATCTACATGTCAATCCGATAATTATATCACCCTTGCTTCTGGTCTGTAGTATTCTGGTTGAGGACCACTAAAAAGAATACTGCCAGGTGCCTAAATCCGCAGATCGACGCTCTCCTGCGCCCTCGATATAGTGTAGATTTCGTATAGGAAGTTGCAGCAGTCTCCATCGATTGGTGATTCGTTTGCCAACACTCAGCTGGCGGTCACTGGGAAGATGGGTGAAAAAGGGCGCAGAAAGCTGATAGCTGAATACAGCCAATCTGACAACTTTCAAACATCAGAAAAGCGTAAAGTTAAAGATAACACAGAAGCCTGTTGCAGATATCTTGTACTTGCGCATATCAGTTCTGGCGGTACTGTTGCCAAATTTGTGCTACGTAGTACTGCTCTATGATTTTTTAACGATCCAGAGCTACTGTCAACTGAAGTGCCGGGGACAAGCCCAAAAACAACGAAATAAAAAAAAAAGAACAATGAAACCGTAAACAGAGTCGCTACCGTACCAGTACGCTTACGTACAATGATGCAATAACCAGCACGGTAATAAAGTAAAAAGCCCCAAGAATACGAATTACTGCTTTGCCGAATAGAAAGATGAACGACAATAAAGGCCAACAGCTACAGCATCAGAGAACATAGATAGAGGGGAACTGCAATAGCTGTTGCACCGCTTGTAGATCCAGTCGCTAGCTAGACTCTATGCTCATACGTGTTTCGACCCTGCGGCGGTTAAGTTTTGAATTTTACAGATAGCGTCTCTGGCTAAGCCATCGTGAAAGAAAAAAATCTTGGGAACGTCGCGTATCATAGTTTCGGCTTCTCGATACCCAGTTATTTGTAGGCGTTGTACTCAGGACGATGCGTCCAGTGGCTACCTAGCTATCGTGCAAGCACCTCGCGTTCAGCGTTCTCATAGCCTGCGTCGAAAGAGCAGTTATGGTGTGATGAATGAATTCACTAAAGCCAACTACACGTCAAACAGTGACGATCCTGCTGGAAGGGAATGGTAAATATCGTCGCTGCCGTGACGTCAAGAACGTCTCTGTAGTCATAGTAAAAAGGCGAAGCCCGACGGTGAGATTAGGATAGTGGAAAAGAACTTCTTTGCGAAGGTGGGATTTTCTAGAAGAAAACGAAGTGGTCAGATCGGGCTTTTCACAGCCATTACCGCCACTAAAGTCCACAGTGTCGTTTCAGTAGTTCGATAATATACATGTCTGTGTTTACTTACGCGATGATAAAAGCAGCAGGACAACTTCCTGTTGCTCGACACTGACCGGAAGGACATTGCAAGAATAAAGCAACGAAACGTATGTGGACACGTCCTGCAGACATCGCGCGACTTCTCGAAGAACGCGCTGGCTTGAACACTGCCGCCAGCCGCTAAACGTTCATAAGAAATTAATCGTCACCCTAATAACAATGATAGTTGCATAGAGATAGTAGATAGTAATCTAGCTGAAATGGCCGTTGTGTTCGTTGAGTGTAGCCTAAATCGAAGTAGCTAAGCACTAGTGAGATAAAAAGCGACCAAAGAAGACGACAATTTGACTAGGTTATTAAATTGCCAAATTATAACGTTTTTACGTGTTAAGAAAAGAGATGCACATCCAGGCTCATTGGAATACCGATGTTGGGCCTATGGTGGACAACAATGACCACAGGAAACGAGAATAGGCTGCATCATAATACGTAATCATAGTACGAGTAATACGAGCAAGAAGTGCTGTCTGTCTGATAGTGAGTGATACATTTTGACGGATATACGGCACCGCGACAACGCTGCTTTTCGTCGTTGGGTTTCTGTTTACGTTGAATGAAGAAGGGCATCTGATGCTTCACAGGGCAATGACATGTCCCGACAGGTTAGTGAAGGTTCAAGTGTCTCCAATAGTGAATACTATATGAATGGCTTGTAAAAGTTTGTAAGAATGAGGTGCGTACATGTATTATAGTAAGATAGGGATCTAGCGAAACCCTCGATTAGTATAGGGTGTAACACACTGCTTGCCGGCAGAAGAAAAACTAACCTTATCGTCCGGTCTTGTTTCCTTATCAGTGTAACTCATTTAGACGTTTCAACGACGTTCAACGACGCTTGAAAACATCGCTGAAGACTTGTCGCTTGCTTCGTTAGTCACAGTCTAAATAGAAACAGTTAAACAGGAGAAAAAAAACTTAACGATACGAAAAATAGGTGACATACGTTTCAATTGAATTGTCCCTCTACCTACCGGCCACACACTGCACGTGCATAGAGGCTTAGGTTAATCAAATCAGAATAATGTTAACCAGAGGTGAAAGGGGACCTAGGTAGCCACGTTAATCTACATTGTCATGTCACTTTAGACGCCCAGGATATATCAAGGCTGACTTCTATTAGAGGAACTGCTTTGTTCTTCAGAGTGGATATAAAAAAAAAAACGCTCTCGCAATATTTGGGTAAACGTAGTAACCTTTCGTTACGGTATGGCCATTAGGATATTCTATGTGATTCAAAATATAAGATTGAAGGACTCCAATAATAGAACCACAATCGTATTTTCTCTAATTGTTTCTTAACTATCCATACTATTAACCTGTTGGATGGAGCGTTGCTTTTGTTTTGCATGCGTTTTCCACATATCTTTTTGAAAGATCAACAGATTTACTGTGAAAGCGTATGTTTAAAGTATAGTATAAGGCCGAAGCATGTTTCATTAAGGAATCATTAGCGTTAGCTTGACTTGAAGTGACATAATGTTTTTACGTCCTAGCGTTACCATTCCTGCCCATTTCGGCGAGAGTCAACACAGGATTTAGTTGGCGTTTTAGATGTTCTCGAAAGATTTTTTATGACTGGTTAAATCGGTGAAAATATTAGGTTTCTTGAGCTCTAAAAGCTCTCGAGCCCTCTTTCGGGGTCGCGAAGCCGATTAAACATGCCTTAGAAAATCTACTGTAATAGCTTTAGGTATTCGAAAGTTTACTGGACAAAGACACACGGACTATACACGGACCATATATATACGCTTGATGAAGGAGAAGCATTGCGCAAATGCGGACCGGCCATATCATCTAAATGTTAAGCGCGTTGAATCGTAATTTTGTGATACTAAGATGACGCGGTACCCAGTGGTATGGTACGCCAATTTTGCAGAAATCGCGCAAAGAAAATTTTTTTCGACAGATTTTTCTGACAAAGATAGTATCTCTGCGGTGAAAAGTCCTCAGAAGTATACCAACGATGCCGATGCCGCATACGAAGGTCGTGTCGCTACGAGGCTGAGTCTGCATAACTTAGGATTTCCTTGGTAGAGTCTACGGGTGTTCCAGAACTGAGGCCTATGCGACGCTCTAGACTGAGGCTCATTCAAGACAAATGTTTCAATAACGAAGTCATACGATAGAAAGATATTTGGAACGGGAGAAGATGAGCAAATGCCCCTCCTTTGTTTACACGATAACAGATGGTGATGCTAACGATAGGTATTATTTCCTATAGTTTAATTTATAGAATATTCGAGTGATTACTATGCCATTTGCGAAACATGCATTTAACATAAAAACTTGTTTTTATTTATTTTTCCATTTAACATAAAAATACTTTTCCTGGCTTTGAGGTAATCTGGTCATTAACGACTGGTATAGGTACGGGGGACAAAAGGCCTTTGCATTGTAGACGACCAGTGTCCTTCTATGGCGAATATGCCAAAGCGATTCGACTTTTCTGATGCTTTTCTGACATTTCGCTAGTCATCTTTGGCCTTTTTATTCTGAAAGCGATTAACTTATGTAATATATTAAGTTTTTCAACGCCTTCGGTTATTCAAACTGTGTAAAAAAATCTACGGAGTCCTTTCTTTTTATCAGTAATCTGCTTGCATTAGAAGATCTGGCCGGGGTGGGTTTTGCTGGATTTATCTGTACTTTTCTCCAATAGGCCTATGAAACGACATGGTTGTCTTTTACTAACGCAGATTTTAGAAGGAACCAGCGATGGCCACATGCTCATTACTCAGTATAGTAATGCACTCAAAGAGAGGTACAACCGTACCAAGCTGTCCCCACGATATTTTAGCTTGAAGGTTAGATTTGAGACGGCTTTTATATAAGCATTTGCTTGTTACTATATTTTGCCAACATTTGAAGGCTATTAGAACACTGGTCACTGTTTCGCAATAGAAATCCTGGCCTGTGGAGTAGATGGGTGAAACGAAGAGCAAAACATCACTTTTATATATAGCACAAACATGGATGTAGTTATTATTTTATTGAAAAGACAAGTTGGCTCACCGTATCTCTAACAAGACGGCAACGATATCATAAATGAGAATATTTGCACTATAATAGTAAATATAATTCGAAGAAGAGGAAAATAACGAATACACATATAACCTTCACAGCTTGATGTATGTAATTTCTCTAGAAGCCACGATAAGAAAAATTAAAACCTAAGGCCTAGAAAAAAAAAGGCTAATAAAACTGTCTCACGTACAATTACTTCATTGTTTTGCTCTATTTTTCTCCGTTTCTCTCTCATTCCGTAAGTATCAGTAGTATTCTCTCCATTTCAGTTATCTTCCGGCTATAAAACCAACCACAGACTGACTATAAGCCTTTAGATTGTACACAAGAACTAGTGCCATATATATATATATATATCAATGTCATAACTGAGGCTGGTATCTATGACGGCAATTGGCAACTATATTTAGTATATGATTCCATTTCACTTAACCAGGTTATCGGACGGATTGTCTTCATGTGTGGTTAGTCCTGTCGTGTATCTCTAAATTGACGGTGAGATACCGTTTCCGTGACACCTGTAATCGATTTGTGCATTGCCCGGTCCACTTTTTGATGCTTCATCCAGGGCCGAATCTAAACAATAGCTTTTGACGTGTAGAAATACGGAATCCTCAAACTGGAGCAACGGGCGTGAAATGGGTGTTCTTTTAGGTAGCCGTGTCCGCCGCCAAACATATCGGATGTGGGCCTCTCTTCAAATGGCAAGAGCAAACGGTTGAATTGACCGTGACTCTCGAGGCTGATCGGGCAATACGGCTTTGAACCAGCAGTTTGAGCAGTTCGAACGGCTTTGTGCCTAGGAGCATCTGGGACTGTCGACGTTCGTGCCTCGGATCGAGCTTCGGCAGATTCCGCAAACTTTACTCATTCATGTTTGGATAAGTAAAGGAAGTAATTAGTGGACGGCATTTATTGAACCCGGGTGCCCTTGATGACAGAGAACGTACACCGTTAGTTCAAACGATTGATTGAAACCTCGCGCTTCTTAACGGTAAAGCGTAGCTCCACGCAACAAGAACTCGGCCGCTGGCGCCAAATTTCGACCAGTGACGAGATCCACTGACCACTGACGACTAGGGATTAGTTGACCGGCAAAAGAATATTATATGCTCACAGCCTGCTGGTGATACGCTTGGATATCGCAAGATAAGCAAAGTGTCAAAAGCTTCCTTTTCGGTCAAAATCGGGAGTGTCCGTTATTGCCAGTTTTTGTACAGCTCGCGAAACATTTAGGATTTCTACAAGACAGACCTGAAAATCCTCAATAGAGCTTAGATTCAAAGGAGTCAAAACTTCATCAAAATGGCTCTGTAGTCACGCTTGGAAATTAGCGGCGACTTAAGAAGCAGAATATCAACTGCATCGGCCAGATAAGCTTTAACGGTTGGTTTTTTGAGACTATGTACGCCTTATTCTACCTATTGGGTTCCTTGGTTGTTTGAGACCTCTAGGCTGCCGTGAGCCCAAGATTTAATCCCGCTGAAATTTTCTGTATGTGTTCCCCTCAGTAACCTCAACCAGAGTCCACATTCATCGATATCGCTTGACGAACGGTTACTATTAAAAGAAATATTTGTCTATTAGGCAAGGAAAATGGCAAAAGAGCGGATTCGAACCATCATCACGGTGGATAGCGATCACGTTGAGTAAATGTAACCGCCATGGAGATACGGAAAACGTTCGCTGGAAAATCGGCTCTCAAAGTTTGTATTTAGATGCCCCACCTTGTGTACTTGTATATGTAAAACCATAAAACTCATTTTGTCTATGGTGTTTCATAAACAAGCTATGCAATTGTGATCTACGTAGGAGAAGCGCCGTTTCAAATCAAAAGCTGCGATCTCTTCTAAATACTTTGTTAGTTGATATTGTTTTAGATAGACTAATTTGAAACGGAACGATACAAATAACCAGACTTGGAAACAAAGAGTTTGCTTAAAAAAAAATTCAGGCACTAATAAATGTATGTCGACCATTGTTTATTTGACGCACTTGCTGTAGGCCTATAAGTAATGGGGAGTAATGGGGCGGGTATTTGTGTTCATAGAAAAAAAATCCAATTCACCGTCTTGCTTTAAAATAAGAAAGCTCACTCTTCAACCGTCAGGTTCATTAAGCTCATGCTTTGTTCCGAGTAATAGCGGAATTGGCAAGCGTAGCTGGTACAACCATTGCAGGTTACCTCTCCTCTCGGACTTTTATAGCACAATTAAGCCGCACATAAATTTATTAATAATGTATGAAATGTATGCAAACGAATGAGCTAGAGTTTTGCAAGATCCGGATACAGAAAACCATCTATGATTTCCTATTAGCTCATTTTTATTTCGCGGGTAATTGGAACAGATTCAGCAATAGCTGCAAACCCTAAATACAAAAATCAAACGAGTCTCTTAACAGCCTGTCTAGTGGACGTTGTTTTGCTTGTTTTAAGGGACTGGACGATGTCTTCTGTTTTGCGAGAGCTTCCCTATTCACAGGTAACCTTTTCCATTCAACCTTACACATAATTAATTGACTGAATTAGCTTTTTCGCTCATGAATTTACCCAAACCCGAAAATAATCTTTGATTTG